GACTTACTTTCACAATACAGTTAAATATTTAAATATCTCTGATAACTGAATTTTAACTTGCACTCTCACTATTGTCGCAACTGTACCATTCTGTTTACGAGATGTTCGAATACATTCTTAGTGACAATTCTTTTGCATCATGTGGCAGCTAATTTTCTAAATGCCCTGTTTCCACCACAATAACTCCAATTTGATATTTTCCTCAACTGATAATAATAATGACTTTTGTCCCCACTTATAATGAATTCTAGTACATAGGTAGTTGTAAGGTATTCTAAAATGGAGACAGAATCATGAATTTTGTTTAATAAACAACAAGTGTGAAAAACAATTTTCTGTGGTTTTTTTCACATTGCTTAAAAAATCACATTGTCATATGAATGATATGAAATGATATTATATATATATANCATGCTTCCATCTTCGGGGGAAGTATCTGAGGGCGATTGAGCTATTTATTATGTCCAATAGGTATCTTATAAAGTTCTCCTGGAGCTGCTTCAGCAACCTATTGTTGATTGAATCAATTCCCGGAGCCTTCTTGGGTTTGGAGGCTCTAATGTACCCCCTCAGTTCTTCCTCCGAAGCTGGACGGATCACATCGTCATCATTCTCCCTAAGGATTCGCTGAACTCCTTGTTCCAGCTGGATATCACGGTCAATATCATCATCCGGATCAACGTTGAGTTGAAACTGATTCTCCATTGTATCTGCAAAGGCCAACGCCTTCCCGGCGGGGGAGTAGCAGATACCGCGCTGTCCATGAAGAGGAAAGGAAGCGGTTTTCCTCTTCTCGAACCTGCGGGTGACTCGCCATAGCTCATCTTCCCCAGGTTCGAGAGATTCCAAACATTCACTCCACCTCTCGTTTCTGTAGTCATTGATGGCCTGTTTGACTTGGTTGGCCATCCTGCTAGCAGCAGCCGTGTCCCCAGGGTAGAGAGTTCGCTGATAAACTCGTCTAAGTCAATTTCTCTCCCGGATAAGATTCTTTATCCTGGGAGAAAACTCATTATAGCTTCGCAGAGGATACTCTGTCCTGGTTGTGGTCGCGCGGAAAGCGTTGTTCACAGACAATTCGAAATCTGCCACTGCCGCGTCGAGACCGTTGCGAGTTTGAAGCGCCTCGCGGTCTGTAGGTGTCTCCATTAGATGATTCTTGAAGGCTTTCCAATCCGTGGATAATCTCATGCGATAGTCTTGGGGAGGGAGATCATCACCCAGCATCAGGATGACTGGATTATGATCTGAGTCTAGATTCGACAAAGTGTACACTTCGCAGGACATGGAAACATTCCTGAGTAGTGCAATATCAAGCACGTCAGGTCTGTTATCCCCAGAGTAGAACGTAGGCTCACCTGGACCCATCACTCGATACTCATGCCTGTCAGCATGCGCATGGAGCGCTCGGCCGTTCGCATTGGTGATTCTGCTTGGCGTTGAAGTCAACAGCAGCAATTGTGGGGGTATCTATCGACAACAGCAGTTCATCCAGTGATTCTGGGAGTAGACAATTCCGCGCGAAACATAAGTGGAACCACCAATTGGTGTGACACCCAAGTTAACTTGCCAAGTTTTTATGTCAGTGTTGGTGGTTTGACCAATCAACTGACAACTGCGGTAGCAGAAATTTGGGAAGATAACCTGGAAAACGAATCCAAATATTTCTAGAAATGATATGAAATCGACAAAGGTTAAAGCAGTCAAGCTGCTGGAAAATAACTCCATGAAAATCAAATGACAAATATATAAGTACTTTCTGATCATTCCCACATTGATTTCAATTTAAGAACAATCGGTAGACAGCTGTTTCGGCCTATTGGGCATTGTCAGTACCGAGCAGGCGGTCCTCGATTGAAGACTAAATGTGAAAAACCAAGAAAAGTACTTGATAAAAATAACTGCGTGACCGCAAGCGAAACATATGTGGAATCAATGTGGGAATGATCAGAAAGTACTTATATATTTATCTTTTGATTTTCATGGAATTATTTCTCAGCAGCTTGACTACAATAACCTTTGTCAAATTCATATCGTTTCTAGAAACATATTGATTCGTTTTCTGATGGCATTTCAGGTTAGCTTCCCAAATTTCTGCTACCGCAGTTGTTGGTTGATTGGTCAAACCACCAACACTGACATAAAAACTTGGCAAGTTGACTTGGGTGTCACACCAATAGGTGGTTCCACTTATGTTTCGCTTGCGTTTACGCAGCTATTTTTATCAAGTACTTTCTTGGTTTTTTCTCATTTTGTCTTCAATCGAGGACCGCCTGCCCGGTACTGACGATGCCCAATAGGCTGAAACAGCTGTATACCGGTGGCTCTTAAATTGAAATCAATATGGGAATGATCAAAGAGTACTTATCTATTTATTTTTTGATTTTCATGGAATTATTTTCCAGCAGCTTGACTGCATTAACCTTTCTAGATTTCATATCATTTCTAGAAACATGTGGATTCGTTTTCCGATGGCATTTCAGGTTAGCTTCCCAAATTTCTGCTACCGCAGTTGTCGGTTGATTGGTCAAACCACCAACACTGACATAAAAACTTGGCAAGTTAACTTGGACGTCACACCAATAGGTGGTGCCACTTATGTTTCGCTTGCGTTTACGCAGTTATTTTTATCAAGTACTTTTCTTGGTTTTTCACATTTTGTCTTTAATCGAGGAGCGCCTGCCCGGTACTGACGATCCCCAATAGACTGAAACAGCTGTCTACCAGTGGCTCTTGAATGGGCTCATTTAACAAATTTTTTTTATTTCATTATTTGAAAGTTCATGTTTCAAATAGTACATCTGCAAAAAAACTGAATTTCCACTCTTTATCTTCCCCTTCAAATTAATAGTTACATACATGCATTGAAGCCGTAGAGAGCAATTTGTGTGTTGTTTACTGCAGTGCATCAACTGCGTGAATATGTAACACGAGGTGTTTTCAAACCAGTCGGCAAATGAAACGAAATCCGACGATGGCACCGTTTCATAATCTCCAACTGGAGGCCCGGTTGCCACCGCTCGAAGCTCATTAAAAGGGTGGCCATGATTCAGACAATGGTTGAAGCAAGGAGAGAAAGGGGGCACGGACCCAAATTGTGTGGCGTAAGGGACACCAGAGCAGCAACCTTGGCAATAAAAAGGCCCATGAAGAGACAACTCGAAACCTCAACCTCGAAAGTGTTACTTGGAATGTGAGGAGAATAGACAGTAGAAATGAGGAAAGATAAAAGAGTGTATCACGGAAGAATGGCAGAGGGAATGGGAAGACAGAACGACTGGGCGGCTGTTGAACAAATACTGTAAAACAGTCGGGTTTGAAACTCTCAATCTGTCGAAGAAGGCTCTCCAACTGTTCAAGGGGCATGAAAACTTCCTGGGTTACCTAGCCAGGTTCAACCTGGGACCGGAGGTTCAGTGTCTCTGTGGCTGGGGGGAGCCTGAAACGGCAGAACATGTGCTTGAGAGATGCATGAAAGGAGAGGAAGGTGGATGGTGTGAATGGAAAGAGCGCCTTGAACGAGAAAACAGAGGAATGCAACTTAGGGGTGTGAATTGAAAAAAAAAGAAATGGATTTCAAGTCCCAGTCCTGGCATACTACTAAAATTTGGACTTGTGTGTGAACCTAGATTGTAAATATTTTCTGGAGGCTATTGTGGCAAGTATTTCAATGTCTATTTTTATTTTTCTTTTTCTTTTTTTGTCAGTGACTAGTGTGTTTTAGAGAAATGCAGTTAGTTGATTACATGTTGAAGAATGAATATTGATTTTATTTCATTGGAAAATAAAAGAAAGTGGGTCTTCAAACCCGCTGGTTTCGTCTCTTCGTGTAGCCGACGTTACGCGCCGACTGCACGAAAGGGGATTGAGTTCGGAGGAGTAGGGATTCCCCTGACAGTGGTGGCGCTGGAGAGAGGAAAGATGTTTAGTTGTAAGGCTTTCGAGCCAGGGCAGCGGAGGCGATTTGACATGTTTGCCAAATCGCCATTTTGAATTTAGATTTCGGATGATTACTGAAATTAATAGCATCATCATTGTTACAGATTCGTATTCAATACGTAGCCTTCATTTTCTGTATTTTATTTCTGAACGAAACAGTGCAAGATTTCGAAGATTTGATTTCTAGAAAATGTGTTTTCGATAATTTTAGAGATTTACATTAATGCTACCTTGTGGTTCACTTCGTTATAGAGATGTATACCTAATGGGCGATATGAACACAATACGGCTCAGAATGACATCATGCTTTTTTAATTTTCTCTTCAGCGACTCTTTCATTTGATATCCGTAATGTGAGAGAGTATGAGGGTATGCATTGTCATCCAAACCTAACGTCTATAGGTATGAAATCTCAGCTCAATTTGATGAAGATAACTGGTGAGCTATGGTTTTTACGCACCCTAATAATGTGAATATTAAATTAAAAGATTCTAGAGCAAAATTTCGAAATGTTGAGAAATAAGATGGCTATCATATCAATTCTGAAAATAAAACTTGGTAAAGGTTAAGGACAGTTTGGTGGTGCACGAACAAATATCGTAGGGATGCAACAAAGACGCATTAGGTGAAATGAATAGATTGAGAAACATGTCTAGCGATGAATGAAAAAAGAAATCATTTTCAAAAATGAGTTTTTATACAGATGCTAAAAATAAACTTCAATTGAATCAGACTCATCAGTTTATGATATTGGAAAATTTAAATGATATGGAAGATTGTCGGATATTTACCTGTATAGATAAACTTGTTTTTGACATTGCATTATAAATTCTGTGATATTGGATGGGTTGGCTTTGAATTGGAGTTGTTTTTATTAGAGCATATATATTCTTGTTGAAACTATTTATTAGATTGGTAAAAGTATCAAAACATTTCACAGTTCTTGATAACTATAAATATGCCAAAGACGTCAGCCAACCTTCAACCGAAAATGGAATAATCAAGCACGAGACTGATGAAAAATGGAAACGTATAGTGAATATGACAAGAGTTATACGTACCACATTTTCTACGATATTGTTCAGAACAAATAAGCTTATTGAAACTGCTATAAATGAATTAACCATCCTTACTGATACACAACAATTCGGAATGAATTAGTTACACATACAAACACTCTCTAAGGAGCGAGGTTGAAAAATTGTGTTGCTGAGAAGCACAACGCATGCTTTATTTTAATGTTTAACTTTCAACTATAAGATAAGATACAGTAGCGTTGCTAACGAAGTGAAAAAATATATTCATGGAAAAATATTTTTGGAATGAATTTTTCTATCCATCAAAAGGAAGAAGAAATGTGGTTAACAGTGGTAGTATTTTGATTATTATTGCAGATCTTACATAAAGTGAAGTAGTTTGATTGTCGGGTTGTTTATGATTTTCAGTTAGGAAACCTCTACAGATTTATGGTATTCTTATGTTCTCCTCTCATCTGAATTGAAAGGGGTATATTTTTGGTAGAAATTAATTTTTGGAAAAGAAATATTTTCAATTTAAACAAGATTCCTATGTCTGGGATTGAATCGAATAATGTCATTACGTACCGTCATTGACGACATGAGTACAACTCACTAATTACATAAAGTTGTAAACCGAAAGTCAGGAATGAGGTGTTGTCAACATTATTTTGGTGAATTCCTCAGAATAGACTAACGCGGTGGGTGATCCTTGATCATAAAAACGGCAAGGATATGTGGCATTTTGGAAGAGAGTGGTGAACAAGTATCTCGAGAAGAGATTTGTTCAGTGGTGAACCGTCTGGCCCAATTTCAAGAATTTAAACGAAATTGTTCCGAATATAGTTTCATATATAGATTTTGAAAGTTCCATAAAAGGTTGCACTTCCTGGTGATTCTACGGAGTCACAACCACTTTTCCAGAACGGGCGACGCCAACTCTTTGAAAACATTTTTCGTGATATTTTGGTTAACGGAACCCTTCGTTTGGGAAGGGTTCTAGTGTTGAAGACTTTTCATCTATAGTTTTTCTGCAGAAAAGTTCCTAAAGAACTTTTCTGGAATCTCTCTCTGATTGCCGAATGGTGAGTTTTCTATTCGTCCAGTTCGATAAATGTCATTGTCCACGTCCAAAAGAGAGTCCAAGTCCATTTTATCAATTGAAAAAATACGTGCTCCAAGTTTGTCTTGTTCCTGATCGAAGAAAACTGCAGCTACAGCTCGACGAGAAACTAACAGGCAAGTACTACTCAGGTACACTTGACTCATTCCTCCAAAAATAACTATTTTTTGCATTAGAAATACCTACTGATTCATCGACATGATACAATTATTGAATTTACAGTAGATATCCATTTACAATGTTAACCTAAACTAAGTATACTCTGACACCATTCCTAATAATTATTTTTTTCTATGACATGAATCTTATAAGTAATATTTTTACTGATATTTTTACCTGACAAATTTGGAGCACAGTCAGATTT